GGGAGGGCAAAGTCTGGGTAACGCAGCACCCACCTGCGCCAGGCCCAACACCGCGGCCGCCGCCATCACAGCTGGTAGACACCAAGTCGCGAGGTACACCCAGGTCGCGGAACCCCGGGACCGCGATGGTGCGACCCCGGGGGCGAAGGCGGGAGTCCTCACTGGCGAGACACTCGGCAGGGCGAACAAGGTCTCTTCCCGCACCCTCCCGCTTCCGTCACCTGGGAACCGTTCAGCAACCCCGAGCTTTTGCTCAGATGATTCCACTGGAGAGTTGACAACATGTCTGCCGCGAGGAAGATGACGGAAGTCCCGCCCAGAGACCTTCAGGCCGCTGGGAAACGCCCGTAACACGGCCGCCGCCGCGGGGCGCAGAGGCTTCTGGGCAATGTAGTTCCCATGTGCACTGGGCCGAGACCACTGCTAACACCACTACTCGCAGGGCGAAGGCTAAATGATACTGCGAGAGGTGCAGGGAAATTATGCCCTAAGAATCTGATGGCAGGGCGTAGCTTCGCTCCTCTTAAAGGACCCTCATCCCTTTCCTGTGAAGTCTCTAGGGATCCCCTAAATATTGAGAGATACATTCTTACATCTGTTCCCCAAAGCCACAAAACCAAATGGACATAGAACAACCAGTGTCACTCTGAGTCCACTCATAGTTCACTTTTTTAATAATGGAAAGAGGCTTAATTGCCTCACAATTCCAATGACCACACAGGCCTCAGGAAAAGTACAATCACAGCAAGTCATCCCTTCACAGGGCAGCAGGAGATAGAAATGAGTGTTGAGCAAAGGGGAAAGCGCCATATAAAACCACCAGATCTCGTGGTAATTCACTCAATAACACCAATACAGTATGGGGGAAATCGCCCCTGTGATTCAATTATCTCCACCTGGTCCCACCCTTGACACGTGGGGATTACTACAATTCAGGGTGAGATATGGGTGGGAACACAGCTAAAGCACATCACTGGGCCTGCCAGAAAATGCCCTTCCTAACCTACCTATAAGTCTGCTAACCCTATAAGCCAGGTACCAGGCCAGTTTTCCAAGAGACATTTCTAAGCATTGGCTCCATAAACTCAACCTTAGTTCATTAAAACCAGTGATCATTTTCAAATATGATGTTCTAGTCCAAGCCTTGGTAATATATCCCATGTTTCCAATTATGTCCTATCACATGAACAGATTCTTTTTCAACTTATACAAATGTTCATCCTGCTGTGAAAATAAGAATATTCAGACTAGGCACGTTGGCTCACACCTGTAATCCCAGCACTTTGGGAGGCTGAGGCGGGCAGATCACCTGAGGTCAGGAGTTTGAGACCAGCCTGGCCAACATTGTGAAAACTGTCTGTACTAAAAATGCAAAAATTAGCTGGGTGTGGTGGCATGTTCCTGTAATCCCAGCTACCTGGAGGCTGAGGCAGGAAAATTGTTTGAACAAGGGAGGCAGAGGTTGCAGTGAGCCAAGACTGCGCCACTGCACTGCAGCCTGGGTGACAGAGCAAGACCCTGTCTCAAAAAATATATATTCCAAATTTTGGAGGGATCAGGCAAGAAGGAAAATTAAATGTTTCATTTCTGTTTAGAAAAGTATAATCTACCAATATCATGAGTATAAATAACTGAAGAGAATGGAAAGAGTTTACTTATATGTGGAAAATAGAACCACTAATGTTCCAAACAAACACCATAATTATATTTGGTCAGATCATTACATCCATGTAATTCATTTTTGTTAGAATTGATCTTGTGTTAGTCATTTCATGAATCCATTAGGTGCTCAGATTATCCACTAGAATTCTGGAAATCCTTACTCAGGTTAGTGGTATGCCATCATGAAACATTTTGGCCTGTAGCTGACTGCAAGTACGTTTAGGAAAGCATCAGGGTCAAACGATAATTATCTATGAATGATAAAGGCTTTAAATGACTGAAGTGAAAGATCTGATGAGAGTTCATTTGACAGGAAAATTTGGTTATTTCTTTGACATACAATATTTTTTAAATAACTAGATTTATGACACAACATTATACCAACATTGATCATGGACAACAAGGACACTGAAAACTTTCTAAGAATTTCATCTAATTTCTGAAATATTTATATTAACAACATTTATTATACCAGTATAACCTAGGAGAGGTTAAGCATCAGTTATTTCACAACAGTTCCTATACAATTCAACATGGAGAAGAAATAATCGAAACTTTTTGCTTAACATTTTCCTTTTTACAAGGTGAATCAATAAATCTTTTTAGATTTTCCAGAGGTGCTTTGGGAAATCTCAGGGTCAGTTTGAGAACGAGATTTTTATTTAGATATTGATTTTGGGAAGGCAAAATTATCAAAAATGTAAAAACAAAACAAAACAAATTTAGCTTTTTTTTTTTTTTTTTTTTGAGACAGAGTCTTGTTCTGTCACCAGGCTGGAGTGTAGTGGTGTGATTGAGGCTCACTGCAACCTCTGACTCCCTGGTTCAAGCGATTCTCCTGCCTCAGCCTCCCAAGTAGCTGGGACTTCAGGTGTGTGCCACCACACCCAGCTAATTTTTGTATTTTCAGTAGAGACGGGCTTTCACCATGTTGGCCAGGATGGTCTCGATCTCTTGACCTCATGATCTGCCCGCCTCAGACTCCCAAAGTGCTAGGATTACAGGTGTGAGCCATCATGCCTGGCCAATTTGAGCTATTTTTAAAGTGAGACATGTCATTTTCTTAAATACCAATGACATAATTAAGGTTAACATAAAACAAAATTATTCTGGTAAGGTGCAGAATCTTTGTTTTCTAGGTATATTACTTAAAAATTTTAAAAGAGGCCGGGCGCGGTGGCGCCTGTAATCCCAGCACTTTGGGAGGCCGAGGCGGGTGGATCACGAGGTCAAGAGATCGAGACCATCCTGGTCAACATGGTGAAACCCCGTCTCTACTAAAAATACAAAAAATTAGCTGGGCGTGGTGGCGCGTGCCTGTAATCCCAGCTACTCAGGAGGCTGAGGCAGGAGAATTGCCTGAACCCAGGAGGCGGAGGTTGTGGTGAGCCGAGATCGCGCCATTGCACTCCAGCCTGGGTAACTAGAGCGAAACTCCGTCTCAAAAAAAAAAAATTTTTTAAAGAAAACCTTTTACTATCTCTTATTAAGAACAGAATAATTATCCAAAAAAAGTCGTCATTTTTTAAAATTGTAAAAATATTTTTTATACATTATATTTTTACATACTTTATGGGGTACATGTGAAATTTTGTTACATGCACAGGATGTATAATAATCAAGTCAAGCAATTTAGAATATCCATCTCCCAAATATTTATTATTTCTATGTGTTGGGTATATTTCAGGTCTCCTAGTTTTTTAAAGAAATACAGGATGGATGCCTGTAACCTCAGCACTTTGTGAAGCCAAGATGGGTAGATCATAAGGTCAGAAGATCAACCATCCTTGCCAACATGGTGAAATTCTATCTCTATTAAAACTACAAAAATCAGCTGGGCATGGTGGTGTGCTTGTCCACCCATCTACTCAGGAGGCTGACGTAGGAAAATTGCTTGAACCCAGGGGGCAGAGGTTGCAGTGGGCTGAGATGATGCCACTGAACTCCAGCCTGTCAACAGAGCAAGACTCTTTCAAAAACAAACAACACATTGTTGTTAATTATAGTTACTGTCTCTGCTATGAAATATTAAAACTTATTCTTTTAATATAACTGTATGTTTATACTCATTAACTATCCTCTCTTCATCCTCTCCCGTCCTCCTTAACATGGCCTTCCCAGTCTTTGGTATCTGTCATTCCACTTCCTATCTCCAAGTGATCTATGTTATTAGTACCCACATATGAGTGAGAGTATGTGATATTTGTCTTTCTGTGCCGGGCTTAATTACTTCCAGTTCCATTCATGTTGCTGCAAGTGATATGATTTCATACTTTTTTTTTTGTGGCCAAATAGTATCCTATTGTGTATATATACTACATTTTCTTTATCTATTCATTTGATGACCAACATGGTGAAACCCCATTTCTACTAAAAAAAACCCAAAAATTATGGGCTGGGCGTGGTGGCTCACGCCTGTAGTCCCAGCACTTTGGGAGGCCAAGGCGGGTGGATCATGTGGTCAAGACATTGAGACCATCCTGGTCAACCGGTAAGACCCCGTCTCTACTAAAAATCCAAAAAATTAGCTGGGCATGGTAGCGCGTGCCTGTAATCCCAGCTACTCAGGAGGTTGAGGCAGGAGAATTGCCTGAACCCAGGAGGTGGAGGTTGTGGTGAGCCGAGATCGCGCCATTGCACTCCAGCCTGGGTAACAAGAGTGAAACTCCGTCTAAAAAAAAAAAAAAATTAGCTGGGCATGGCAGCAGGCGCCTGTAATCTCAGCTACCTGGGAGGCTGAGGCAGGGGAATCACTTCAACCCAGGAGGTTGCAGTGAGCGGAGATCGTGCCATTGCACTCCAGCCTGGGTGACAAAAGCGAAACTCCTGTCTCAGAAACAAACAAAAAAAGTGACAAAATAATTTCCCACATTCACTGCACATGAGCTCTTTTGTGTCTTAAGAGGCCAGAGCTTTGGCTAAAGTATTTTCCACATTCATGGCATTCGTAAGTCCTTTCTCCATTGTGAACTGTCTTGTGTTGAATTAGGTGATTTTTGCGGGTAAAAGATTTCCCACATTCACTGCACTCATAAGGCCCTTCTCCAGAGTGAACTCTCCTATGCTGAGCTTTGGCTATAAGATTTCCCACATTCATTACACTTATAAGGCCTTTCACTGGTGTGAACAGTCTGGTGTCAAATGAGATGGGTTTTTCAGGTAAAAGATTTCCCACATACATTGCACTCATAAGGCTTTGTTCTAGTGTGAGCTCGTCTGTGTCTAAGGAGGCCAGAGCTTTGGCTAAAAACTTTCCCACAGTCACTGCACTCATAAGGCCTGTCTCCAGTGTGAACTCTTTGGTGTAAAATGTCTCAGGACTGGGGTACAAATCTCACAGGGGTGACTCTTATGGGTGGATGGATCTGCCTTTGGAGTCCTGCCCTCTGACAGTTCTTCTTCAGAAATGCTCTCTGCAGAAGGTGCCTCCTTATCTTCTGCTCCACACCAACAAACCTGAAAAAAGAGAAATGGTGAGAAAATGCAGGTTCATTATGGCATGAGAAGTTATACCAAAAATGTGTGTCAGACAGAAAAGAATGAGTCTAAGAATGGATGTTTGTCCCCTTCAAATCTCACATGGAGGGCCAGGCGCGGTGGCTCAAGCCTGTAATCCCAGCACTTTGGGAGGCCGAGGCGGGTAGATCACAAGGTCAAGAGATCGAGACCATCTTGGTCAACAAGGTGAAACCCCGTCTCTACTAAAAATACAAAAAATTAGCTGGGCATGGTGGCTCGTGCCTGTAATCTCAGCAACTCAGGAGGCTGAGACAGAAGAATTGCCTGAACCCAGGAGGCAGAGGTTGCGGTGAGCCAAGATCGTGCCATTGCACTCCAGCCTGGGTAATAAGAGCGAAACTCCGTCTCAAAAAAAAAAAATCTCACATGGAAATGTAATCCCAAAAGTTGCAAGTAGGGCCTAGTGAGAGGTTATCTGGGTCACGGAGATGGATCCCTCATGAATGACACAGTGTCCTCCCCACAGTAATAAATTCATATAAGACCTGGTTGGTAAAAAGAGACTTGTGCCTCCGTCCTGTTTCGCTTGCGCCCTTTTTGCCTTCTGCAATGACTGGAAGCTTCCTGAGGCCCTCACCAGAAATGGACACTAGCACTAGACCTACTTGTGTCTATTCCTTTCATCGACCTCAGCTCATCAACCTTCCTGTACAGCCTGCAGAACTATAAGCTGTAATAAACCTTGTTTCTTTATAAACTACCCAGCCTCAGGTATTTCTTTATAGTAATGCAAAGGCCTAATACAGACACAGGGCTCCATCCTAGTTCAATAGTATCCGCCACTCTTTGTATGTCTCTATCCTGCACCCCTTCTCAGAGTTCAAGACCTGTGTGTCCACCCAGCCACTTGATACAGCTACTTATTTATTCTCTAAAACATCTCATATTTTTAACATGGATGAAACACATTCCAGATATCTGAGTGAAAAATAATCTTACTATCTATTTGGCACACCAGCTGCTAAACCCAAAAAGCCTTGACTCATCCTTTCTTTTTTTAATTTGGAAAAGGCAAGAGTCACCCCTTCTTCTCTCTTAGTCCCAATACCAGAAAATCAAGAGCTGACCTACAAGCCAAAATTCAACCATTTCTGCCACACTGTGGCCACACTCTTCTCTGGCCCACATCATCTACACTCACTTGGACTATTGCAGTAGTATCCTCTTCCCTCTCCGGTATTGCTACCACCTTCCTTAAACTCAGTCTATTGTCTGTGCTCAGCTACAGGAGTCTCACGAGGCCTGGGGAAGATCACCTCCCTCTTCTGCTCCAAACCTTCATTGCTGCCATCAACTCCACGGTGAACACATCTGAGACAGCCATTTAGTTTCTAACTCCTCTATCCCTGCTCTCTGTTCCCATGAGAAGGAAACAAGACTTGAGTCTTTCTGAACCAGCTCAGCCTCACCTCCAGGCAGCTCCAAACACCTGTACTTATCTCTGGGACAAACTTCTACATTCATCCTATTATATGCCAGCAACAGGCACCACCTCATATAACGCCCACCCTGGACATAGGATCTGTTCAGAGTCCCTAGGTTCAAAGTCTGGAAAAGTGGTAAATACAGGATCCCAGATCACCAAAGTTCCAGAGATCTCATTGCTGGAATCAGTGAGGTTCTGGATTTCCTTTATTCACCCTTGCAGGTGTAAGGTATATTGCCCAGTCGAAATGAGGAAACCGAGGACAGTATACGAAAATGAAAATCCAATTTATTCAGCTCCCGCGCGAGGTTCTATGGTCCAGAATGGGGCCAGAGAAGTCGCGCTTAACTTCTCGGGGCAGGGGGTTTTCATAGGGGTTAGAGGCGATTGATTGGCTATTGGGGAAACAAAGCATAGGCAATTTCATTAGTTGCAGGGAGACAGGGCCCAGACGGGGAAAGCCACTATAGGTGGGGAGGTGGGACTTATTGGGGGTGGGCTGGCTAAGGACGTATGGAGCAAACTGCCACTGGGTAAGACATGGCGGGATTTTTTTTAAATTTTGGCGGGTTCAAATTCACAGTCTAGTGCTGGATATAGATCTGGAAGCAGAATGCAGAAGTGGGTGAGGGGAGCCCGCATGGAGAAGCCAGATGCTGAGTAAGGCGTCCGGAATGATAAGGCTGTTAGGAGACATGGAGAGGGGTGGGTGTTGTCCATCCGGCTCCCAGCGAGGCAACCCGCCTTACAGTAGGATCTGTAAGTGCTTCTTACAGACCTATAAGTACTTGTGGTAATCTGTGGGACAAGAGATATTCTGAGAGGCAGGTGACCACAGTGTGGCTCCATGGGCTTCTGGTTCCCCCGTGCAACACTAGAGTCAGGTGTTTTGGGACGACTGCTTTCTATCTGGGTGTCACTCCTTGGTACTTTTACCAGCTATGTGACCTTGTGAAAGGACTAAGTTCTCCTACACCTATCATCATTGTCCTTCCAGAGCGCTCCCCTGAACACCTTTTTTTTTGAGACGGAGTTTCGCTCTTGTTACCCAGGCTGGAGTGCAATGGCGCGATCTCGGCTCACCACAACCTCCGCCTCCTGGGTTCAGGCAATTCTCCTGCCTCAGCCTCCTGAGTAGCTGGGATTACAGGCACGCACCACCATGCCCAGCTAGTTTTTTGTATTTTTAGTAGAGACGGGGTTTCACCATGTTGACCAGGATGGTCTCGATCTCTTGACCTCGTGATCCACCCGCCTCGGCCTCCCAAAGTGCTGAGATTACAGGCGTGAGCCACTGCGCCCGGCCCCCTGAACAGCTTTCGTGAAACTTTTAGAAGCGTGACTGGGGCCGTGTCCCTCTTCTGTCCACACAGAGCTGTGGCCCTGAGGGTGCTGGTCAAAGTCAGAGGGGCCAATGCAGCGTGGCGCTGTCCCACCCTCTGCTCCCCGCACACGCGAAACCGGCCTGGGTCTCCCGAGTCTCCCGGCTCAGGCGGAGCTCCGAGCCGTCGCCCGCGCGGCCCCCGGCCCGTCTCACGCTCCCGCTACCCGCCACACTGCCAGAAACGAGGCCCAGCACCGGCGCGTCTCTGTGCCGGACAGTGCGGCCCGGGCTGCAGAAAACTCTTCAAGCGCCGCTCAGTTTCGGCTGGGGAGGGCGGAGGAGGCCGGGAGGACGCAGCGCTCACCTGCGTTGGGACCCTCAGCGCCGAAGCCATCGGACTCTGGGCGGAACGGGCCGGGAGCAGTGGACGATCCGGGCGGAGACGCGAGCAAAGCCGTCACCACCGCCAGCGACGGTCAGGCCCCACCGCGCAGCTAGGAAAACGACTCTCTCCGCGCCTTCTCAGCACGGCGATCCAGACCCGGCGCCCGCGGACGGAACTGACGCAAGGCAAAGTGCCCGCCACTGGGCGGACGCCGGAAGTCCCGCCCGGCAAATTGGGCAGAGCGGAAACGTCCCTTCCCTGGGCCTCATTGGCTCCATGCGACACGCCTGGCGCACAGACCTCTGGGTATTGTAGTTCTCAACGCTTCCCGGGCTGGCAGAGGTCGCCCTTCTGCAGGACCTCAGGGAGAAAAGGCCACGTGCTGTGGAGAAGAATGGAGGAGAAGCCTGAGAGAGAGGTGGTTTCTCCAGCCTCCTAGAACTAGGGAGAAGCTTCGCTGTTTTTTTAAGGTACCATACAGAAATTTTTGGATGGCCGGGCGCGGTGGCTCAAGCCTGTAATCCCAGCACTTTGGGAGGCCGAGGCGGGTGGATCACGAGGTCAAGAGATCGAGACCATCCTGGTCAACATGGTGAAAGCCCGTCTCTACTAAAAATACAAAAAATTAGCTGGGCATGGTGGCGCGTGCCTGTAATCCCAGCTACTCAGGAGGCTGAGGCAGGAGAATTGCCTCAGGAGGCGGAGGTTGCGGTCAGCCGAGATCGTGCCATTGCACTCCAGCCTGGGTAACAAGAGTTTTTTGTCTCAAATAAATAAATAAATAAATAAAGTTAAAAAAATAAATTTTTGGAGTATTGTGTACAACTAGTCGCCTACGTAGTCACAGTCATTCTGAGACTTGGCGAGAACCTAGTAAACATTACTTTATTTCTCCTCACATTTATGTAGAGTAGAACGTTAGAGCCAGCTTTGTGAGTTTCATTATACTCAGTGAGGAAGAAGAGATACAGGGTTCACAAAGAGCCATGACAGGAACGATGAAACATCCGTTAGATGGCACCAAAGCAGGAGGACAAAAGTGGAATTGTGTCTCTGGTTCTCAACAGAAAATGCTTCTCATGCCTGTGTAATTAGTGAGTGTGTCTAACTCTGTAAGGAACAGTGTTTTATTCAAGTAATATTTCTTCCTCCATATTCCTAGATATGCTTCTTTTAGGATTGTAGCAACTTGTAAAAAGAGCCACTTAGCATATGTTGTTTGTTTGTGATGGAGTCTCACTCTGTTGACCAGGCTGGAGTGCAATGGCGCAATCTCTGCTTACTGCAATCTCCGCCTCCCGGGTTGAAGCGATTCTCCTGCTTCAGCCACCTGAGTAGCTGGGAGGGACTACAGACACACACCACCACGCCCAGCTTATTTTTGTATTTTTAGTAGAGACAGGGTTTCACCATATTGGCCAGAATGTTCTCAATCTCTTGATCTTGTGATCCTCCCCGCCTCTGTCTCCCAAAGTGCTGGAATTACAGGCGTGAGCCACTGCGCCCGGCCGCATACGTCATTTTAAAGTAGAGCAGTCTCTCTAGTGCTCAGAGTCAGAGCACTTCTGCAAAGGGGACATCAGAATGCCAGAATAAAGGTTTGGGACACCTAGCTCTCATCTCTTTGATGGGAAATTTTGATCATTGATACTGCTACTGCAGGGGCAGTGCCTGCATGGGGAGTTATCTCAGAAAAACAGCTGTGAAATGAAAATTACTGAAAGCTATTGTACTAGTCAGGAGTCTCCACAGAAACACAGAACCAGAAGGGTACATAGATGTTCAAGAGGAGATTGATTATGGGAATTGGCTCATCCAGTTATGAAGGCTAAGAAGTCCCAGGATATGCGTTTTGCAGTCTGGTTAAACATGAAGGTAGGTGTTATCATTCAGTCTGCATCTGAAGGCCTGAAAACCAAGGAAGCCTATGATGAAATTCTCAGTTTGGCCGGGCGCGGTGGCTCAAGCCTGTAATCCCAGCACCTTGGGAGGCCGAGGCGGGTGGATCACGAGGTAGAGAGATCGAGACCATCCTGGTCAACATGGTGAAACCCCATCTCTACTAAAAATACAAAAAACTAGCTGGGCATGGTGGCACGTGCCTGTAATCTCAGCTACTCAGGAGGCTGAGGCAGGAGAATTGCCTGAGCCCAGGAGGCGGAGGTTGCGGTGAGCCGAGATCGCGCCATTGCACTCCAGCCTGGGTAACAAGAGTGAAACTCCGTCTCAAAAAAAAAAAAAAGAAATTCTGTTTGAGACTGAAGGCCTGACGACTGGGTGAGGGTCACTCTTGTAGGTTCGAGTCCAAAGGCCCAAGACCTGAGAACTTTAATGTTGGAAAACAGGAGAAGGTGGATGACCCAGGTCAAGAGCAGAAACTTGCTCTTTCTCTGCTTTTTTGTTGTATCTGGGCTCTCAATGCATTAGATGTTGCCCTCTGGCCGGGCGCGGTGGCTCAAGCCTGTAATCCCAGCACTTTGGGAGGCCGAGGCGGGTGGATCACGAGGTCAAGAGATCGAGACCATCCTGGTCAACATGGTGAAACCCCGTCTCTACTAAAAATACAAAAAATTAGCTGGGCATGGTGGCGCGTGCCTGTGATCCCAGCTACTCAGGAGGCTGAGGCAGGAGAATTGCCTAAACCCAGGAGGTGGAGGTTGCGGTGAGCCGAGATCGTGCCATTGCACTCCAGCCTGGGTAACAAGAGCGAAACTCCGTCTCAAAAAAAAAAAAAAAAAAAAAAAAAAAAAAAGATGTTGCCCTCTAACACTGATGAGGCCAGATCTCCTTTACATCTTCTGCAGGCTCAAATGCCAGTATCTTCCATGAACATTCTCACAGACACATCCTGTCATAAGGTTTTCCCAACTATTTGGGTACCCATTAATGCAGGTGAGTTGACACAAAACATTAAACATTCACAACTATTAATAATTATGTGGCTATTAAGAAATAGTGGAAGTAATGCCTCTGGGAAAACCATAGTAAAGGGTTAAAAAAAAAAAAGCTAAAATCTCAGAGAAAATTGAATGAGAGAAAATAGAATCCAAATGAGTTAAAAATTAAATTAAACTGTGTTGAAATCTTTGGACAGTCTGAGGGTTTGTATTATTAAAAAGTTGATCTTTTCATTCATGAATACTTTTTTTTTTTTTTTTTTAGATGGAGTCTCGATTTGTCGCCAGGCTGGAATGTAGTGGTGCGATTTTGGCTCACTGCAATCTCTGCCTCCCAGGTTCAAGTGATTCTCCTACCCCAGACTCCCAAGTACCTGGACCGCCACCACGTCCAGCTAATTTTTATATTTTCACTAGAGACGGGGTTTCACCATGTTGGCCAGGATGGTCTCCATCTCCTGAACTTGTGGTATTCCCACCTCAGCCTCCCAAAGTGCTGGGATTACAGATGTGAGCCACCATGCCTGGCCTGGAGTTTTTAGGGTAAAATGTGCAGCTGCTCATGTCTTCAGACTTTCTTGCCAAGACTTGTGAGCACTGGGGGAGATAAGCATTTTTATTAAGTGATACCTATGCTACTGCTTCAGAACATAGTCATGGTAACAGTTTCACTTCAAGATGGCATCAGTCTTGCCACACCATATGCTGTATGTTCCTACATAATTGTTCTTGAGGTCATCGTAGCTATTATATCAGCACGGTGAAAATAGAATACAATGGTGTGATGCTATCCACTTCTTCTCAATTCATGTTTGGTGACATTACTTGGACAACTTGTAATTGGCCATGAAGGGATTATTTTACCAAGGAAATTTACAAATATTAAAAGCCAGGGCTTGTTTTGTTGAATGGTTAGACCTAAGAAATTGATGTAGAATTTGTCAATGAAGGTAGTGTTTCAAGTATATATTGTCTGTGGTTGTTATGCTGTGAACATACCAAAAAATTTTGAGAAAATATTTTCCCAGTATTTCAAAGCAATTTTTATCATTTAGCAAAGAAGTGCATCACATTACTGAATACTGAGTGACGTTCCAACATAAGTCTTTGTTACACATGTCTATTTATTAATGAAAAATGAAATATCACCAACATCCATTTAAAAATAAGCAAAAGACATTAATAAACATTTTTCCAAAGAGGGTATACAGGTGGCAACTAGACGCAAGAAAAATGTTCAATATCATAAAATACCAGAAAAATGCAATAAAATTACAGAGAGATGCTATTATATAACTATTAAAACAACTGAAGTTAAAAAGACTAACCAAACCAAGTATTGGCAAGAATGTAGAGAAACAGGAAGGCTCAGGCCTGTAATCCTAGCACTTTGGGAGGCCGAGGTGGGTGGATCACCTGAGGTTAGGAGTTCAAGTCCAGCCTGGCCATCATGGTGAAACCCCATCTTAAAAAAAAAAAAAAAAAGAGAGAAACAGGAAGGCTCACATACTGTAGATGGGAATGCAAATGGTAAAGTTAGGTTATAGTCTGGTCATTTCTATAAAAGTGAAGCATTCACATATTGTACTACTGGCACTGGAGGAATAAAGCCTTTCTGCCTATTAAGAATTATATGCCAGCTGGGCGCAGTGGCTCACACCTGTAATCCCAGCACTTTGGGAGGCCGAGATCAAGAGATCTAGACCATCCTGGCCATGGTGAAACACTGTCTCTACTAAAAATACAAAAATTAGCCAGGCATGGTGGCACACGCCTGTGGTCCCAGCTACTCGGGAGGCTGAGGCGGAAGAATCGCTTGAACACAGAAGGCGGAGTTTGCAGTGAGCCGAGATTGCACCACTGCACTCTGTCCTTGAGACAGAGCAAGAACCCATCGTAAAAAAAAAAAAAAATTAGGCCGGGCACGGTGGCTCAAGCCTGTAATCCCAGCACTTTGGGAGGCCGAGGCGGGTGGATCACGAGGTCGAGAGATCGAGACCATCCTGGTCAATATGGTGAAACCCCGTCTCTACTAAAAATACAAAAAAGTAGCTGGGCGTGGTGGCACATGCCTGTAATCCCAGCTACTCAGGAGGCTGAGGCAGGAGAATTGCCTGAACCCAGGAGGCGGAGGTTGCGGTGAGCCGAGATCGCGCCATTGCACTCCAGCCTGGGGAACAAGAGTGAAACTCCGTCTCCAAAAAAAAAAAAAAAAAAAAAAAAAATTATATGCTTATTTTCATAGTAGCATTATTTGTAACAGCTTCAAACTGTAAAGCATCCAACTGTTTATCCAAATTGTGACATATCCACAATATTGCTGTGGATATTTCTCAGCAATATTGCTGTGACTATTTCTCAGCAATACAAATGAAGTATTCACATAATATGGATAAATCTTAAAAATAATTGTGCATCATGAAAAGCAACAGTAAAAATGGAGTATTTTATGATTCAATTCATGTAAAATCCTAGAAAACACACACTATTCTCCCGCAAGGAAAGTAGACTAGACTCTCGAAGGCCTGGAAAGTGCAGGCAGAGACTGTAAAACAGCATGAAGTGAATCATGAATATGTTCATGATCATGATTATGATGGTTTCATAGGCTTATATGACAAACTCTTCAAAATATACAATATATAAACTATGGCAGGTCACTTATACATCAAGAAAGTTTGTAAAGCATGTTTCAAATAAAATACCTGATCTTCCATCTTTCAGAAACCAGAATGCCTGTCAATCTCATGTTGACTGCACTCTCTCTTCAGGCCTGGGGAAGGGCTACCATGCATCCCTCAGTGCAGGAAATACTGGCAAGCAATGAAGGCTGTGGCAATTTGAGACAACAGCAACACTGATAGAAATCACAAGAGCTATTAATACATCCTTGGCCTGTAGGACTTCTATTATCTTTATCCTCCTTTTTCTGCCTCTACAGCAATGAACTTGAGGTGAACACCCAGAAAGCCAACAAGAATAAAAATATATATATATTTTAAAAACCTTAATTATTTTTCGTGACAATAACCTCAATTATTGGACATACACAGATTTCTAGGTCCTATGACTGCTCAAAGCCACAGTCATGGGAAGATTTCTAAATGCAATGTTACAAGAGGCACATTCCAACTAGTTTGTTGCAGGCTCCACCATACCCAGTATTTTTGTAGCAACTGCAGTGCACTCGTGACTCCCATTGTCTTCTGAGCGACATCAGCCTATGAAATGTTTGCTGTCAGGGCATGTCTCCTTATAAAACCTCATCAAAAGTTTCTCAACAGCATATATGCACATCATAGGACATCCTCTGGAAACAATGGAATAAAACTGTCCTATTCCCTGAAACACAGGCACTTGTCAAAACAGCTGGCCTCTCCTTGGGATGACCTCTAGTCCCACAGAAAGAATAGGGATCCAGGCCACAAATTAGAATAACCAAAATCTTGCATTGTTTCTAGATTTTAGGTAGCAAAGCAAATATGACCAAAACAAGAACGAGAATTACTCCGTCATCTTACTTTTCCTGCAGAGGCCCACAAAAGCTGTCCATTCTGTCATATAGAGTTAAGTCTGCTTCCCAGCCACCCCACAGTAAACAAAACCCCAAGACTACAGGTAGATTCAAATATAAGGCCTTTATTAGTGTTCAAACTGGAGCACTGTGAGGCAGCCATTCACCAGGTGGTGACTTGGAGGCTAGAAGAATGACCAAATGTCATGTGAGACCAAGAATTTCCATGAAGGGAATCCTTGCACTTAAGTGTCCAGCAGAACCATGGCTGGGCCCACCTGACCAAGACTGGGTCACATGTATGCTGTGATCAGTCAGGAAAGAGAATGAATTTTCTCTAAAGGCTCAGATTACTCAAGATTTTCTCCAAAGACTAAGAGAATACATAGATGTCAGCCTTGCTTTAGCACATCAGGGTGACCAATCCCCACAGTGCAAGGTGGTAGAGGGGAGATGGTTTCTACCAGAGAAACAAGGAAGAATGAGATTCAATTTCAGGCAGATGGCTCCCTCTCAAAGGCTCTCTACTGCTACAATACCACAGAGACAGAACATTCCTTGTAGGCCTAAGGCTCTACTGAAGTGTGGACTTTCAGGAGTTAATGATGATAGATCTTGCGTTAAAGGTGCTTCCACATTTGCTGCATTCATGGGGCCTCTATGTGTTATGACATTTTTGGTGATGAATGAGGCTGGAGCATTGGCTAAAGGAATTCCCACATTTGTCACACTCATAAGGCCTTTCTCCAGTGTGAACCACTTGGTGTTGAATGAGACCAGACTTTTGGCTAAAGGACTTTCCACACTGGCCACACTCATAAGGCCTTGCTCCAGTATGAATTCTCCGGTGTTGAATAAGAATGGAGCTTTGACTAAAGGATTTCCCACATTCACACTTATAAGGCCTCTCTCCAGTGTGAACTCTCTGGTGTTTAATGAGGGTAGCTTTTTGACTAAAGGATTTCCCACACTGGCCACACTCATAAGGCTTTGCTCCAGTGTGAATTCTTCGGTGTTGATTAAGAATGGCACTTTGACTAAAGGAATTCCCACATTCACTACACTTATAAGGCCTTTCTCCAGTGTGAACTCTTTGGTGTTTAACAAGGGTGGCTTTTTGGCTAAAAGATTTCCCACATTGGCTACACTCATAAGGCCTTGCTCCAGTGTGTATTTTCTGGTGGTCAACAAGGCTGGAGTTTTGTCTAAATAATTTCCCACATTCACTGCACTCATAAGGCCTTTCTCCAGTGTGGATTCTCCGATGGTCATTCAGGTGGGAGGTTTGGCTAAAGAATTTTCCACATTCACTGCACTCCCAAGGCCTTTCTCCAGTATGGACTCTCTGGTGCTGAACAAGTGAGTACTTGCCACGGAAGGCTTTCCCACATTTGCTACACTCATAAAGCTTTTTTCCTGTGTAAACTCTTGGATGGTGAACAGGTGTGTGTTTGTGGCTGGAATTCTTCCCACATTCACCTGACTTGTAATGACTTTCTTGACTGTCAATGTCCTCCTCATATTCAGTAACTGTGTTGGGTTTCCTGCCTCCAGGAAAGACCAGGGACCTCAGAAGTCCCAACATGGCTGGTAGGTCCTTCCCAACTTCCAATTTGCAAAAGGGCTTCAATGACATACGGAATAGGCATCGTTTCACACATGAGGCTCTGTCCATATTCCTCTTGAAGGATTTCTTTGCACTGTGATGCTTCTGGTGCTCACAATGGTTTGCACATTCTCCAACCAAGTATGGTTTCTGCCCAGGGAGATCAGCTAGATGCAAAATATCTTTCAGGACTAGGACACACATCTCACAGGGTTGAGTCTTCTGTGTGGATGAACCTGCCTTTGACTGTGACACTCCTATAGAAACATTCTGCTCAGAAGGTATCTTTTTATCCTCTGTTCCATGGCCACAACCTAAAAGCAGATGAAATATATATTGACTATGCTAAGAACAGGAAGCTCCATTATACACATACCAAAGGAATGATTCATTAGGTTTGTTTTGAGGATAATGGAGCTGGGGGCAGGTTGAGGAAGAGGTTGCTTTGCAATACTGGATCACTAATGATCACAGAATGAGGGAGCCCTCACCAAATAAAGGACATATGGATGGGATGGAGGACAGGGAATGGCATAGTCTTCAAACCATTCCTCTACCAATGGCCTCAAAAGTTATCTTTGAGTAGCCTTCAAATTCCCAAAACTCACCACACAGTCTTGAGGAGGACTTTGTCTGCTGGTAACACCTGCATGATGTACAGAAGGTTGATTATGCCCAAGCCCAGGGAAATCCAATTGAAACTGAGTAGCAAGTGATATGGTCACATATCTTCATGTGGTCATATATGCATACTTCATGAGACATTATATATGCATCAATGTTGGATAACATTGAGGGAGCAGTGCAAAGGAGTAGATAATGCATGAAGACCAGAAAGGTAAAGGTAGCCAGGTACTAGAAGTCATAGATGAAAATAAGAAGATAGAAAAGTGTAAAGTACAGGGAAGAAAATACATAAATGTGGTTTGGCTAGTGGCATGTGCACCCAAACAGTGGTGAAGACAGGACAGCCTCTTTATATGATCTGAAAACGGCCTGGATATTGTGACCCCTACCAGTTGCCACTCAACAAGCCCAGGCCTTCTCTGAGACCATGTTCACCCTATAAAGCAACCAGGTTTCTCTGCATACCCTCAGTTGTCTAGATATGTGGGACCTTCATGAAGCCAAGTCCTACCAGAAACACAGAACATGTGAGTGATCAGGACTCAGAAAGGGAAAGAAAGTTAATATTAAAAAACAAAAAAACTAGAAGCAGTAAGAAGAGCCCACTGTCCCCGTAAGTATAGACCATGACAATGACTATAATCATGACACAGGTAGCCACAAGAAAATATCAGCTAGCAGATGGGGGTGTGGGGAACTTGGGACACAAGGTGTCATGGATCTGAACACAGTCACCCAGCCAAGAAGAGGGCAGGCAATGAAGATTCATTTGGCTGACTGCAGAACACCTGCTTCCCAGACCACTAGGCAGCAAGTGTTAGGGCTGCTCAGACAGTGTACAGTGCTGGCACCCATTGCACATATCCCAAGAAAGTGGGGAAGTCAGCAAAAGAGCATAGACAGATCAGGAAACTGGAGTTGGTGTGAGGGCCTTACCCAGTGAGGCTACAAGGGCAAAGTTCTCCAGCATCACTTCAAGGTACAGGAGTCTCTGAGCCTCATCAAGAAGTCCCCACTCTTCCTGTGAGAAGTAAATGGCGATGTCCTCAAAGGTCACACAGCCCTGTCATGATGGGGACAGGTCACTCCACAATCAACACCTCCACAATCAAGTTCATCCACCCGCTCATTCATCCCCACCTTACAGGAAATACAAGCCCTGGTGACACAGATGCCCACTCTCTCCTCATGGTCCCAATAATCACTGTGTCCTTCTACAGCATCAACCAGGAGGTGAGCAGGATGTACCACATCTAAACTTTGGGCCCAGTATGTAGGGTTGCATCCCTTCTTGTCAGGCAGTTCCCCAAGAGTCTTTCAGATGGTGCCTCCTAAATACAATGAAATGTGAGTTCACCTTTCACCCTTAAGTCCTCAATGCCAGGGCCTTGGGTCCTTCAGTTCACACTCCCTCTCCATGTGTACATCATTCTTTGAACCATACTCGCTCAGTCTCACTCCCACAGCCACGTTCACCCCTCTGCCTGGCAAATTGAGACAGCTACGCAGATATCTGATGGTTTCTACTGTCATAAACAGCCTCTATCCTGCTTGGAAGGCCTATCTTCCTGACTCTGTTCCTTGCTTCAACCTCAGCCACCAAGAATCACCTGATGCCAGACAGTGACGGCTGCCCTCCACTTGTGCTGCACTTGATGTCCCCTCTTCAATCATGAACTTCCTCTCACCACTTAACCCTCATTCAAAATCAGTGGCCTCAGTGGCACAGGCTCTCTACCCCCAACCTAATGACTCATACAGATGAACACTTGTACTCCTAAACTTATCCAACTGCTTGACTGACACCCTCCCCAGACACGCCAAGGGTCACAACAAATTCCTGGTGAGTTTTTACCATGTGAATAAGCACTAGTCCTAGTGTTATAGTCAGTTTGGGCTGCTAGCATAATATCATAAACTGGGTGGCTTATCAGTAACAGAAATTTATTTCTCACAGATCTGCAGGTAGATGCCTGAGGTTAGAGTGCCAGCATGGCCAGGTTCTGGTGGTGACTCTTTCCAGGTTGCAGACTGCTGACCACTTGTATCCTCACATGGTGGAAAGAGCACCGGGTAGTTCTCTAGCCTCTTAGTTTAAGAGTACTCACTAATCCGATTCATTAGGGCTCCACCCTCATGACCTAATTACCCCCAAAGGCCCAACCTGCAAATACCATCACACTGGAATTAGGGTTTAAGCATATGAAGTTTGCAGGGACACAGTCCACTATACCTGGCCTCAGTGTTATCTTCTACCAATTATTTCTTTGTCTCCATGTCTGTCTTTTGTCCCTAATGCTTTGGAAGCCTCGATCACTTGTCAGATGATATGATCTGGCTATGTCCCCACCCAAATCTCATATTGAATTGTAGCTCCCACAGTTCCTACATCACGGGAGGAACCTAGTGGGAGGTAATTGAATCATAGGGGTAGGTCTTTCCCATGGTTCTCATGATAGTAAATAAGTCTCACGAGAACTGATTGTTTTATAAGGGGGAGTTCCCCTGAACAAGTTCTCTCTTGTCTGCTGCCATGCAAGACATGCCTTTTGTCCTCTGCCATGATTGTGAGGCCTCCCCGGCCACGTGGAACCGTGAGTCTATTAAACCTCTTTTTCCTTATAAATTACCTAGTCTTGAGCACATCTTTCTCAGCAGCATGAAAACGCACTAATATAGAAAATCGATATGAGTAGTGGGGCTCTGCTGTAAAGATACCAGAAAACGTGAAAGCGATTTTGGAACTAGGTAGTAGGCAGAGGTTGGAACAGTTTGGAAGGCTCAGAAGAAGACAGGAAAATGTGGGAAAGTCTGGAACTTCCTAGAGACTTGTGTTTATCAGCAGTGTGAAAACAGACTAATACACCAGATCATCCTCTTTCCTACAACCTTCCCATGATCACTTCAAAACTCACCTTGGCCACTGCAGTAGCCTCCTCCCTGGTCTTTCTATTGCCTCCCTCACACCCACAGAGTATTCTCTATGCTTCATTAACAGTGAACCTGATAAGACCAGTGTCAGATAACCTCCCTCCTCTTCTCTAAACTGCCCATTGCTCCCATCATCTCCAGAAAAAACACCCAGTTTCTCAGAGCCATTCCAGGCCTGAATCCTGCCCTGATGCTCTCAGTTCCTGTGAGAAAGAAAAGAGAGTTGGGTTTCCCTCAACCAGCTCAGCTTCACTGCCGACCTTACACATTATTGTAAGTAGCCGGGACAACCTTTTACATCTCATTCCACTGTCTGCCACCAATAAAAACTTCTCTAAGTAACCGTCAGTCTAGAATCGGGAAGTCAAGCTTGGGGTTTGTAAAGCGTCCTTAAGTCAAAAAAGTGGTTAAGCGGCAAAAAAAAAAAAAAAAAAAAAATCCATGAAAAAAACCCCAGGATGGGGTCAGGACCAGTGAGGGCCTGGGACACCCTCCACTCACCTTTGTGAGGTCCATATGTGTGTCTGGAGTCACGGTAACCTGTGGAAAGCCAAAGATCATGAGAGGCAGGTGACCAGAGCAGGGCTCTACTGATTCAGGCTCCCTTGTATTCCTGTCCAGGCCAGAGCCCTGTGGACTGAGGATGTCTGCATTGTTTCTGAACCTCAGCGTTGCAGTCCCTGCTCCTAGCGACTGTGGGACCTTGCACAAGAACTCAACCTTCCTATGCCTCCGTATTATTCCGTTCTTTTCTAGTCTAACTCCATGCGGCTTCTGGAAAACTTCGAAACACCTAACTCAGACCATATGCCTCTTCTGTACACAACCCTCCACGGCTCCTAGCATCCTAAGAATTCAGGGAAAACTCCCCACTTTGGCACTCCAGGTATCAACGGTCTTGACTCAATCTCTAACAAAACGCCGGCCCCTGTCACCCTCTTCCATGCCTAATCACCCAAGGTCTGGAAATTGGGACCCCACCCACGAGTCCCCACTGTACTGGACACAGGGATCTCGACCGCAGCGACTCAAGAAGGCACCCCTTACTGGGCCTTAGAATTTGAATGGGGATGAAGGAGGGTGAGGCCCAGTGGAGGCGGCGCTCACCTGAGTCGGGGCCCTCAGCGCGGCCGCTGCCATCGGAGCCTGTGGGCAGAGCGGGGGCGGGACCCGCGAGCGACCGGTGAGGGGTCCTGGGCAAAACCGTCAACCCGCCGCCGCTGCCCCTTAGAGCCGCCACTGTTCAGCGGAAGGACCCCTCCCCTCGCGCCTTCGGGCTTTCTCGCCAAACAAAGCGCTCCCAAAGCTCTCAAGGTCTGCATTCACTCAAGGGCTGCTAAAACGACCGCCACTTAAGCGATACCGGAAGTCCCGCCCAGACCCAGTGGCCTAAAAGCGGAAACGACCCTTTTCTCAGCGCTGATTGGCTGAGCATCCCTGCAGCTGGAGACAGAGCCTTGTGGGTAATGTAGTCGTCCCTGGTACCCAGGGGGCAGGGAAGGAAGCTGCGGCCCAGAGTGACCCGGAACAAAGGCCGAGCGGCCGCGCTGGAGGCGCTGGGAAATGGCGTCGCCACCGTCCAGGAGAGGGCTGGGCTTTGTTGTTCCTTAATGGGGCTGCTGGTCGATTTCTGTGGTCCCGTCGCGGCTGAGCGCCCAGGTGATGAGAGGCGTTGATTCAGGCTCAGGGAGCCGAGGCCCGATGCACACGGACGCGTACTCCACAGGGCCGCCCTGCGGGAGCGAGGACGCCTCCTCCTCCTCCTCACGTGCAGGGTCGAGGCGTTCAGGCCGTGCGGGCCGAGGCGGTTCCGTGAAGGGCAGCAGCCACCTAGGTGTCGCGCTCTGCCTGGTGTTCCGGAAGGCCACGTGGCGGCCTGGCCCCTTGCCGCACCTGCTCAGACCTGAGCCCCCGACTGTCCCCAGCTGCAGAAGGCGGGGCCGAGATGTCCCAGGGGCAGAGATCCTGGGCGGCTCCACCCCGCGGGAGGTCTGGGGTCGGGCCGGCTGGGGAGGCCCCGGAGCGGCGGAGGAAAGCGCCTCTGCTTCCCTGAGTCCCCTCCTGGGGGCGGGGGCGGGGGGCCTGGGAGCCGCTCCTGCGTTTTCCGACAGCCCCTCCACCGCCCTTCGGCTGAAAACTAGGTCCAGATGAGCCTTGATCCCCATCGAGGAAGTCTCCTACTTAGCCTCCCACACCGGCTGGGACCATCTCCAACCGCCCTCAGGACAACAGGGAAGCAGGCGGGTTCCCAGGGCGCCCCACGTGGTAGGAACGAGGCTTCTGGAGCCCAAAGATGGGATTTAGTCCCCCCAGGGGAAGTCCATGCTCTGCCTTACAGCAGCAGGTACGGGCTTCTGGGGGCACCCTGAGACTTGGCCTGTAGGATACTCATAATGGCCTCCTCGAAGGTGCAGGTATAACCGCTGGACCAGTCTCATCTGGCCATGCTCTGTTGTTAACAGAATGTTCAGTTCCTCTGCAGACACAGAGCTAAAGAGTTGCAAGTTACACAGCTAGAGAATGTAAAGAAAAGAAAATGTCAGGCCCGGCGCGGTGGCTCACGCCTGTAATCCAAACACTGGGAGGCTTAGATGGAAGGATCTCTTGGGCAGCACAGCCAGATCCCCTCTCCACAAAAAAATAAAAAATTATCCGGGTGTGGTGGTGCACCTGTAATCCTAGCTACTCAGGAGGCTGAGGCAGGAGGATGGCTTAAGTCCAGGAGTATGCGGATCTGGTGTCCACACTAAGTTCAGCGTCAATATGGTGACCTCCGGGAAGTAGGGGATCACCACGTTGCCTAAATAGGAGTGAACTGGCCCGGGTTAGAAATGGAGCACATAAAAACTCCCATGCCGCTCAGTAGTTAGGATCACACCTGTGAATAGCCACTGCACTCCCACCTGGTCTTATTTTTTTAAAAGATAATTTAAAATGTATTTTTAAATTTAAAAACTAAAGTGAAATATTCAATTCCTTGGTTATTATTATCTGTAACCCAAAAAGAAAGTAAAAGAGAGTGCTGGGACAGACTTTAGTGCTAGGCGAGGTTACCAAGAATGTAGTCAGAGAGTAACTAATTTGGGGACAGTATGTAGTTTTCTTTTGTTTAGTTTTTTGAGACAGAATCTCCCTATGTTGCCCAGGCTACAGTGCAGTGGCACGATCTCGGCTCACTGCAGCCTCCACCTCCTAGGTTCAAGCGATTCTCCTGCCTCAGCCTCCTGAGTAGCTGGGATTACAGGCACACGCTATCATGCACGACTAATTTTTTTGTGTTTTTAGTAGAGATAGTGTTTCACCATGTTGGCCAGGCTGGTTTTGAGCTCCTGATCTCAAGTGATCCGCCCACCTGGACTTCCCAAAGTGCTAGGATTACAGGCAGGAGCCACCATGCCTGGCCGGCAGTATCTAGTCTTCAATGCTGCAGAGTGGAGAGCCTGCTTGGATTGATGCAGGACCCGCAGCTCCCTATTGAACAATAGTAGATGGGTATATGTAATTCCTGAGGGAACAGCCAGCCTGGTGGACTAGATAAAAGGTACTATAATACCGGTGTACCCTGAGAAAGGGTCTAACTCCATCTATAAATGCCAAGTGGGGCCCTCTGCGAAACAGTCTCAGGGAAGCAGAGTCGCTTTCCTCCGTGGCTCCCGAGGTGACGCCCCCGGGGTGGAGTTGCCCAGCACCTCTGCTCCTGGGACATCTCGGCCCTGCCTCCCGCATCTGGGATCAGTCAAGGGGCTCAGGTCTGAGCAGGTGCGGCAAGCAGTGAGGCCGTCACGTGGCCTTCTGGAACACCTGCGCAGAGCGCGATACCTAGGTGGCTCCTGTCTTTCACAGAACCTCCTCGAACGAACGCCTCGACCCTGCACATGAGCGGGAGGAGGCTTCTTCGCTCACGCAGGGCGGCCCTTTGGAGTACTCGTCCATGTGGATTTGGCCTCAGCTCCCTGAGCCTGAATCAATGCCTCATCAATGCCCTGAGCTTCCTGAGCCTCTGAATCAACGTCCCAGATGAGGCAGCTGATATACTTTATGTGCTAGCTTTGTGGGAGTGGCTTATGATTACCGAGATATTTATTTTTTAAATATTATCATTACCTAGATCATGCTAAATGCTGTGGTTAAGGAGGCCCCATCTACATGGGCACCCCATGTGATGTTTTTTTCTGCAGAATCAGACAACAGTTTGAGAAGCCTTATCAAATTTGCTACTTCAGCTTCCTCTCTTGATCTTTCAGATCCTAATAAAAACATCAGGTTAATTAACAAGAGAATGGGGAAAGGCAAAAGACAGAGGGAAAGGATTCATCCCAGGAGGGTGGAAGTTTTTAAATGGTTATTAAGAAATAAGGTGAATACAGAGAACATTGATGGGTTGAAACTATGAGGGAAAACAAAGGGGAAAGTCATGGGACTCATCTCAGCAGGGTGAAAATATTTAGTTGTTAAGAAATGGAAGGCCGGGCGCAGTGGCTCACGCCTGTAATCCCAACACTTTGGGAGGCTGAGGCGGGTGGATCACGAGGTCAAGAGATAGAGACCAACCTGGTCAACATGGTGAAACCCCGTCTCTACTAAAAATACAAAAAATCAGCTGGGCATGGTGGCACATGCCTGTAATCCCGGCTACTCAGGAGGCTGAGGCAGGAGAATTGCCTGAACCCAGGAGGCGGAGGTTACGGTGAGCCGAGATCATGCTATTGCACTCCACCCTGGGTAACAAGAGCGAAACTCCGTCTCAAAAAAAAAAAAAAAGAAAAAGAAAGAAAGAAAGAAATGGAATGGACAGGCACGGTGGCTCATGCCTATAATGCCAGCACTCTGGGAGGTCAAGGTAGGAGGATTTCTTGAGTCCAGGAGTTAAAGATCAGGCTGAGCAACACAATGAGACCTTGGCTGTACAAAATAAATAAAAATTAGCTGGGTGTGGTAGCATATACCTGTGGTTCCAGCTACTTAGGAAGCTGAGGCGGGAGGATCACTTGAGCTCAGGAGTTCAAAGCTGTAGCGAGCTATAATTACACTACTGCATTCCAGCCTGGGTGATAGAGCAAGACCCTATCTAAAAATAAATAAATAAATAAAAACAAGAAACGGAATGAATAAAATGGATATTGATAAGGTGAAAACAAAGATCTTAACAGAACACTGTTGAAGGCTGGGTTGGCCAAAGGAAGCCCTTGCTGACCCTCAACAGTAAAGGGCCTCAACCCGGTTTGCTGTATTTTCTACAATTTGGAAAAATTTTAAAAGCTGGAAGGCAGAGATTACCATGAGAAATCTCATCTGAAGTTGCCTGAAGCAATAGTTACATAGATTAATCAAGATAAAGATTGACAAAATAGCCGGGTCCTTTGGCTCAACCTTTGGCTAGGGACCCAAAGCCTTGTGCACAACAGAGGGTAAAATGGTCTTGGGGAGAAGAATAGAAGTTCCTGGAACTAGAACATAAAATGTAAAGGCTGACTGGATTAGGAAAATTGGTATATTTGAAACATTTCCTGTGAAGTGGTTGTGTCTCTTACGGATCTTACCATGGAAATGAACATTGTATCTGACTAGTGCCATAAAACAGGAAGTACATAAATCTGCTCTTTAAACAATGTTAATTGGACATGCTAAATAGGAGCCAGTAAGATTCCTCAAGCCCACACAGTGCATAGTGGAAATAGTGCTGGTAGGGACAAATTCTTCATTTAAAAGCCTTTTTTGGAGTATTTACTGGGGCTTATGGCAAAGGCCTAGGCAAGCCTCCCAGCAACAACTACTGAGATTTTGGTCTAGAGAATTTCCATTTCAGGGGCATTTACAACCTTGTTATTGGACATTAATTGAACCTACCCCTATGAATGAAGGACATAAAATGATCTCAAAACCTGAAATACGTGGTTTTGGGTGATGTCAGAGAAATGCTGAAATGGGGATGGCAGTGCCAAGAAATGGTCCATAATAAAACGAAAATGGTTTCTACAGGATGGTGGTAGTTGAGAAACAAAAGAAGGAACCGTCTTTACCTCCGAACGTACTCTGGAACTGTGTGAGATGCTGCTGGATTCTACTGACACTTGGACAGTGTACTATGAATAGCTTTCAACTGACCAAGAAAGAGCTACTTGATTTACACACATTTCTTTCTTTCTTTCTTTTTTCTAGGACTGATAGCAGAAGGAGAAGACATTAGTTTCAAAGTGAATGTACAACATCCTGTTTGGAAGACTGCTACTTTGATCAAAGAAGGTAAAAACAGATCAGCTGGGTGGGCCGAATTGTATGCTGTTTTTCTAACAGTAATGGAAGAACTGAATAGTGGTGGAAGTCCCTGTGTTTGGGTTTTTCCTGACTCATGGGCA